TACTTCACAGTGGATTTGGGTCTCATCTTTCCAACCAGACTTTAAGTCCAAAGGCAGAAACCAACGTCCTGTACAGTCCTATATTCTCTGTAAGCACCTGTAGAGCCTTTGTGCAGGGCACGTGTTTCAGAAAGATATTTGAATGAATGTAGATGTGTATATCCAACTGTTCCTTCACCTAAGAGTGGCTCCAAATTATTGTTGTGAAGTGGGTGAACTATTAGGTACTTGGGCTTTGGAGTCAGGCAGATCCAAGTACAGTTCTCAGCCCCGTGTAAGTGCTCTACCCTCTCTGAGCCTCCTTACTCATTGTGCAGTGGGAAAAACTGACGGGCAGGCTATGGTGGAGACTTAGAGGATACTTACAAGTTTCCTAGCAAAATGCCTCACATCTGTGGTTCTCTTTAAGGGCCAGACATTGCTGAAAGCTCCTGCTGTTATATCTAAAAGTACTGTATGGAATAGTAGACCAACTGCCTTAGATATTTATCTTTAGGTGTAAGATAATAAATAACTGATTCTCTCTGAGTCAAGTTGGTATTTTCGCTTTCTTTCTTTGTAAGGTCTAGAAATTTAAGCTTCAAGTAACAGATTGTCCAGAAATTTGTGTGGATTCCCCTTACAGATGGGAAAAGACACAAAGCAGGTGTTTTACCAGTTCAGGCTTTCACACAGAGCAGTACAATCAGGGTTAAGTTGATGCATCACAAGCCTCCTCTGTCCACATGATTATCATGACTTTTCTCCCATTGCAGAGAGGCTTCCAGCCCCCAGAATAAGGAATATGTGCCCTACCTGAATGAGAAGCAGAGACTTTCAGCCTTTCCGTCCATAGATAGGACATTCACCAGCCTCAGTGGTATTATACTCACCGAAACTTCAAGGGGATCACAAGGTTGGAAGTCAGAGTTTGCTTACTTCATTGAAACATTGCTATCTAAGCATCTGAGATTCTATGCTATGGAGGAAATAATACATACAATTTCTGCATGAATATAGTAATTGGAGCTTTATTTCTAAAGGCTAAAAATTGAGACAATTTTAGTGCCTAAGAATAAAATGGGAAGTGGTTAAATAAACCCTGAAATGTTCATTTGATATATTAAGCAGCTATTTAAAATGTTTACTTATATATACAGAACGTGACTAAGCAATAACATATGGAATAATGTGGGAAAAAATAATAGCACATAAAATGCTTCTGAGTATGCTTTAAGGAAAAAAGGATAAAAAAGATAAAATTCAGTTTAGGCTCAGAGCTTTCCCCAAATCTGAAGGGATACTGAGCCTTCCTAGTCCTCCCTGCCTCTTACAATAGCCAATAAAAACCTTATACTTAGGTGGTAGGATTGTGACATCATCAACAGTCTAACCAATCTCTTTGTTGATTATTTGTACAGTTTACACCTCCATATCCAATGAAACTCAATTTCTTTTAAGGACAACATTGAGTGTGGAAGTGTTATCCTTCCACAGAAAAGGAAGAAAATTACATTCACAAAGAGATATTTCTAACGATAATTGGTATAAAAATGGTGATTCAAATTATACCTAGCCCCTCTATAGAGTATGTTTACCTTCTAAACACTCTGCTCAGAATGTTAAATTTTAAAATAGCTCTCAGACAACTACATTTGATGTTTAACTGTTTTTAAATATTCCTTTAGGGTAGAAAACAAAATTTTCTTGGGTAATCTAGAACCTCTATTATTAGCAAAAAGATAAGACATTTATTTCTCAGACCTAATTGTTTCTATAAAGAGAAGAATAACTCCACTCTATACTTACCTGTTGATGTTGGCATTTTATTCTCTATAATGAGTCAACAGTTTATCAAACTACATGAACTGGGTGTGGCAAGGATGCTGGATTCCATAAATCTGTTCTTCATCCTCCTTCGTTTATACAATTAATGGTTAAGCAAATTCAATACGGCCAAGGGTGAGCCTCTTCATTACGTCAGCCCAGGTTTCTGTTCATGAAAAGTATTTAGTGGGCTAATTTTGCCTTTCTCCTATGATATACAGCGGGTGTGGACAAGTTATTTTGTTTCATAGGTTTTCTGAGCACTTATCATGTGTCAAGTATTTTCACATGCATTATCTAGCTTAATCTTCACAGTAACTATGGAAGGAGATAGGTGTTATTAGCCCTATTTATAGATGAACAGACTGAGGGTAGGAGAGGCTAAGCCATTTGGTTGCCCAAGAAATCACAAGGAGTAACAACCAGAATTCTTAGATGAATTTTCTGACACCAAGACCGTATTCTTCCCACTTCACCATGCTCTTTGCTTATAATTAACTAGATGTGCCAAAACACAAGGGAAAATGCTACTCCTACATACCAAATATAACCACTTGCATTGTAAATCTGCAAATATTTGTCTTGTTATGAGTATCAAGACATAATTCATAGTTGTATTTTCCCTAAGGAACATAGACCAGTAGAATGATCCGGTCTTTTGAAGAAAATTTCAATCAGCCAGAATACTTCTAAGTCCTACAAAGTGCACAATAGTTTAGTACTACGGCTAATGAAAATTTGCGGCTGGTTTCGAATCAGCAATTGTAGGTTACTCAGGAGTCTACGCAAACTACCTGTCCAAACTTCTCTGGCATCTGCTTGTTTGTTTTATAGTTGTGACTCAGTGAATTCAGAAATGGGTGGGATATGTCTGAAGCCCCATTGGAGTGAAATGTGCAACCCTTTTGAAACTGGATATCTGGGATAACTGCTATGGACCTTACTCTGTGCCAGGCAGTGTGTAAATGCTTTACCTGATAGGCAGGTTCTGGGATTATTGCCACTGCACATAACTGGAAAACTGGGACACAGCGTTCAGGACTGGGAGGATAGCTCAGTGGTAGAGCACATGATTAGCATACCTGAGGTGCTGGGTTCAATCCCCAGTACCAAAAAAAGAAGAAAAAAGCTGATTTTGTAAAACAGACCAAAGACTTTCTGTTGACCTACATCACACCTTGTTAAACATGGGCACAACAGGAAACCCTGCTGTCATATTGTAAGTGTGCAATAATATATAAATCTAAGTTAAGATCAACTTGAATCTAGTATAGAAATGAGAGCAGGCACAGTGGTGTGCACGTGTAATCCCAGAACTCTGAGAGACTGAGGCAGGAGGATCCCAAGTTCAAGCCTAGAGTAGACAACTTAGAAAGATCTTATCTCAAAATAAAATAAAAAGGGCTAGGGATACAGCTCTTTGCAAAGATCTTGCATCCAATCCTTAGTATTGGGGAAAAATAAAAGAGATATGATTTAAAATTAATGCTCTCTGTTTCCTTGGAGGTTCATGGAGAATCCCTCCACTTTTCTTCAGCTGAAAATCAGGTCACAAACACGTGTCACTGTCTAGTCACTATTTGGTCACCACCAGTTGCCACCCAAGACTTCCCCAGGATCTGCCGGGCCACCTCTTACACCTGGGGGGGGGGGGATCTTCCCCACAGCTCTGTCTAGTCGCGCCCACGACGCACACTGGCATTCTGCCATTCCCCGTCATTGCAAATGCGGAGGGCTGATTGCTTCGTGTTTCCACATGGTGCCTGACACTGTGTAGTGGAAGTGGGGGGTGGCTCTAAGTTCCCAGCCCATCCGAAATTTCTATCTGCTAAAAATGGAGCTGCTTAGTTTAGCTGTTTCAGTTTAGGAATTTAGAAAGTAGCTGCCTGTTGGGAGTAAATTCTTAACAACTTGGTGTCTTCTAGGATACACATTAAATCGAGTGGTTGGAATGAGAAGATAGAACAGAGGCAGGAAACTTACAGTCTAGTGGCACCCAAATGGCCCCAGGGGTGTGAAGAAGCTTGGTAAGCTGCAAAACCCTTCAGCGATCATCGCAGTGACTCAGACTGAGAGCCGCCCTCACCACAGGCTAGGCCAGTGTTTCTCAGACGTTAGAGTGTATCAGAATCACCCGGACCCCTCCTCCAAACATTTCCGAACTACTGATTCAGGTAGGTTTGTTGGTGTCCAAAAATTTGTCTTTTTTTTCTTTCTTGGAGACAAGTTCTCACTACCTATGTAGCCCAGGCTGGGCTACAACTCTCAGTAATCCTCCTGCCTCAGCCTCCAAGTGCTGGGATCACAAACTCGAAGCCCCCACGCCCCAGCTAAGAATCTGCACTTCTCTCAAGTTCCTGGGAGATGCTGTTGCCCTAGGTCCAAGGACCACACCTTGAGGACCACTGGTGGCTGGATAAGCGTGGCCCATTGTAACCACAGGAGGTGTGCAGTTTGCAGATAGAGTTATCATTACTCCAGCTCCCTTCTGCCTCCACTGTTCTCAGGGGAGCTTGGTTGAGGCAGATGGAAAAACAGGTAGCATTCCTTGTCTACTCTTCTATGTGTATCAACCTCTTGCCATTTATATCCATTCTTGTTTAAAAGCTGCATATTTAAAAGGGGCATAGGGTTGTGATTCAGACCATGCATCCTAAAGGAGACGGTGCCTTTCTCTTTGGTGGGATGAACATAATATATCGTGCAAAGTTAGGACAAAAAGAAAAGGCAGTGATCGTAAACATCCCTATTGTGCCCCTCCCTGCCAAATACAGCGAGGGAGGGGATCCCAGGACAGCCTTCCCTGGCAGGGTCCCTCAGACAGCCGCCCACACCCGGTCGGCCTCAGCCCGCAGCCCCAGGCCCTGCCCTTCGCAAGGCTGTAAAGCAGCGCACTTGGCCTTCCCGATCGCTCCCGGTGGGGGGCGCGGGGTGGACAGGGGGGTGCACGGTGCAACCAACCGGTGGCCACCGCCCCTTCACCCCCTCAGGCGTTCTCATTGGCGAGTTGCCCTGTCACTCCCTCCTGGCCCCGCCTTCCCCGTAGTGGGCGGGGTAGGTTGCGCGCTCGCGGCGGGCTCCGGCCGCGGTCGCCGCTTTGCAGCAGGCAGCACCGCGAGCGAGAGGAGGCCGGGCACGCTGCGGGCTCCGCGGCCGGCCCATGCGGGCGGGGGCCGGTGGCAGGGCCGGGGGCTGCGGCCGGCGAGGTCCTGCCCGGCTGGCTGCCCCGCGCCCCGCCTCGCCCAGCGGCCGGGCCGGCAGGGAGGGACGCGCGGTGCGCTCGGCTCCCCTGTGCCCTGCCCATGCCTTGAAGCACAAAGTTTAGGGCTGGGGGCTACCTTCCCCCTCCCCCACAATGACTGCCCAAGGACTCCTGCCGCCCAGCCTCGACAGTGACCTGCCTTCGCTCCCCAGGTCGGAATCAACTATTCCAAGATTCCCCATCCTCCTCCTCCTCTAAAATACATATTTTTTAATACAAGCAATTGTGATCTGCTGGCTCCTTTCCATAATAATTTAGACCTCAGGCCTCGTTTCTGAGTGTAAGGGGGTGCGGTCTCCCCCAAGACGGCGCCCTGGAAGGACAGAGTCCCCTTGCAGACCCACACACACGATGAAGAGGTGCAAATCGGATGAGCTGCAGCAGCAGCAGCAGCCGGGCGAGGAGGATGGAGCTGGGCTGGAAGAAGCAGCTTTCCACCTGCCGGGCGCGGACCTCCGGCCCGGGGAGGCCGCGGGTGCTAACTCCGCGGGCGGGCCAAGTTCAGATGCGGGCGCCGGGGCGGCACCCAACCCGGGTCCCCGAAGCAAGCCTCCTGATTTAAAGGTGAGCGCAGACCCTCCCCTGGCAAGCCCAGCCCGCCACGTAGCTTTCCCCACCCCACCCAGAAGTGCTTTAACTGGATCCCAGCGATGGGGAAGCCAGGCGAAGGTCAGCGAGGATAACGGATGTGGGGCTAGAATCCTCGAGGCGACATCAGGTGCCATTTGTGCCTCTGTCTGTCAGCTCCATTTCAGGCCTCTGTTTGTTTCCCATTATTCCCCAGACGTTCTAGTGACTCACCCATCTGAGATTGTTGGAAATAACGTGTGTGAAGTGCTATTCTCAGACAAAGGGCTGGAGAAATGCAAGATGCTAACTAAAAAGTTGACATCACTCTCCCTCCTGTAGGATGGCAGGGGAAGAAAATTGCAGCGTGGGAGGCCAAGTAGGTGACCATTAGTTTCTTTTGCCAATAAGTCTCTTGCCATTGGGATTTTTGTTCACCTTCCTGGTTGATGCTCAGTTTGTTCATCTATGAAAGGCGGGGGGGGGGGGGGGGGGGGGGGGGGGGGTGTGTGGGTTTCTTGCCGTTAGGTGGAGCCCGAGTTTAAGCTCGTGCTTGGAGATCCCTCCCTGTCTGCTGAACCAACCCCCAGGGTGGAGAACTGACAGGTGGCCGATCTGTGTTTGGGCTGGTGGGGGGCCTCGGTTGCACACACAAGTCGCACACACGCTGAGCCTGAGCCAGCAGCTAGAACCAGAATCCGAAGGAGCCGTTCACATGGAGCTGTTTATTTTCCAGCCTGAGGTTGTCCAGACGATTGGTGAGCTGTATTGAATGTGTCTCGGTATCAATTAAAACAGCAGCCTCGATAAATAATGCACCTTCACTGGAGCTTCCCCCGGGACGGCAGACTCCTGCTTCTCAAGCCAGCTCCTGACAGGGCTGATCGAGATGTCAGCTGAAGGAAAGAACTTAGGTGTCTTGGAGGTTGACGCCTCAGGGGGATTTTCTCCGGAGAGGGTGCAGGGTCTGGGCTAGCGGACCAGAAAGGACTCCCATTAGGTTAAATAAAGCCTGTATCGTATGGCAGCAGGCACTAAGGAGCTCACAGAGTAAGCCAATGACATTCCTCATTTGTCCTCAGCGGCTGGGAGTCAGGAAGTCAGAGCGCAGGTGAGTGTGTGCTTTTACCTGTGTGTGCGCTGTCTGTGCTCCTGTGTTCCTTGGGAAAGGGGACAACTAGCTCTTTGTCGTGTGTACTTTTAAAATGAGCGGTAGTTATTCAGATCTGCCCTTTTTAGAGGCTCGGGCTAGCCCCGTGTGTGTCTAAGGCGAACTCTTGTTGATGGGCTGTGCATCAGGCCCAAGAACTCCGTGGTGTCCATCCATCTCGTCTACCCTGGTGGTCAGGAGCTGTGTTTCCTGTCTTAAGGGAGATGGTGAAGGGAAAGGGTTTCCCTAAATGCTGTTGGCGGGGAGGCAAGCCTTCTGCTGCAGACTTCCGCCTCATTCTGGGCTGGCCCAGAGGAGTCAGCCGGCAAACCCTAATTCTTGGAAAGATGGGACCCTCACTCTGAGTCCAGCAGAGGCAGCCTTGGAAACTCCCTCGATACGCCAGCTGCATCCATTTCCCCACATACCTTCCGGAGTGAGGTTGGGCTGGCTGCTCCTTGTCTCTCCAGATAAGGCTGCCTGCAGCTCACTGTTCCCACCCTTCTGTGTCATTTTTTTCTCCTTTTCGGTGACACCCTCATTCTAGTTAGGGGCAGACACAGCAACAGTTCTATACTTGATATTTAGTGCTGCACTGTCCTGAACCAGAATTGAGAGCAGGTATGAGAAAAAGACACCCCCCACCCCTCAAAAAACAGTACCCAAGAGGCAGAGCTCAGCACTGTGGACCCAGGCTGCTGCTTGTGGGAGGGAGGAGAGACATGAAGAGCCTTTTCCTGTTTACCTCTGCTTGATCACAACATGTTGGCTGGGGTGCTTCCAAAGCAGATGTGGATGGGGCCCAGTGCAGTTTGATTTACTTTGTGATCCCAGGCAAATCACTCAACTTTTCTGAATAAAGGGAATAGGAATGTTGGAGTGTGTCCAAACTTGTTTTCCAGTGCTGGAAAAGTTGTTTTCCAAGACTGACACAGTTTTCCAGGTATGGAAAATTTCCATCATTGGCTCTGGACTTGGGAACGGCTCTAGAAATGGTTAGATGTTAATTGGCTCTAGCTTTGATGGTGGTACCAAAAGGGGGGCCGTTAATTATGACTACTTCTTGCCCTACACCTGTGTTTGGCTGAGGCAGATCAGCAGTTCTGGCTTCCTTTTCTTTTTCATTTTGAACTTTGGAGATCAGAACCACTTCTGCTTTCTTTTGATAGTGACAGGCGTTGTGATGGATTAAGTGCATTGAGGGAAGTCATCTCAAGAGAGGGATAGAAACGTTAGTCTCTGTCTAAAGTGCTTCCATGGGAAAGAGGAGAAAATTTTAGTTCCTACCAAAGAGAGCTAAGCAATACTTACATAGTGACGGCCAGCAGTTTAGGGAGCTCCTCTGGTCTTACTAGTCCTTCAGCACCGTGGAGGATCATACTGTGCCTATGAATTTCTTCTTCGGTGTTGTGGATAGCACCTAGGGTCTTGTGGATGCTAGGCAGCACTGCACCACAGCTGTGCTAACCCCCAGCCCTGTAACTTCCTTCTGTGGTAGCCTGGGATCTGTGATTATGTTGTGGGGAAATTCGACCAGTGAAAAGAAAGAAAAATGGTTAAGCAGCAGTCTTCAAACCATAGCTGTAATAGAAAAATAACCTGAGAATGAGCATCGACCCACAGGGGAGGCGTGTGCAAATATTTCAGAAGCCTTTTCCACAACTCAGAGCATTCATGTGTTCTTAGGAGGACATCTCAGCAGACAGTCCTGTACCAGGAGTCGGACAGTTTGGTGGCCACTCGTGGCTTGGAATCCTGTTTAATCACTTGGGTTCTTGTCTTGATTCATTTCTTCTCATTACCTAGTTCTTTGCTGCCAGATTCCCTGCTTACTGGGAAGAGATGCTGGGTAGCTGGCCACAGAGACTGCTGGCCTACCAGAAGTGTGAGTGCGCCGGTGGCCTCCAGCTGGGTGACTCATTCTCCAGCTCCAGTGAGGATGACAGTAGGGAGGAGCTCCTCCGGGACCTCAGCAGAAAGAGACCCTGTTAGAAATACAGCATCCGATGGGTGTGATCCAGGCTACTCCAGAGGCTGACGCGGGGAGATCACAGGTTGGAGACTGGCCTGGCCAATTTAACAAGACCCTTTCTCAAAATAAAATTTAGATAGGGTTAGCCAGGCATGGTGGTGCACGCCTGTGTAATCCCAGCACTCAGGAAGCTGAGGCAGGGAGATCATGAGTCAGAGGCCAACTCAACATATCTGGCTTGTTTACTTTTTTCTTTTTTTTTGAGGCTCAGGGTTTTATTAAAATTTGTGGCGGGTCTCACTGTCTCATTTTTTTTCTTAATGAGGGAGAAGACAAGCTACATAGTGGGCGTGTGGGTGGGATGCAGGTATGTGTGCCCTGGGCCTCTGGAGGGTCTGATGATGGAGCATGGCTGCCTAAGACCTTGCTGCAAGAATCTCTCCTTGTGCCTCAGGAGTGCTGTGCGTTAGGCTTGAGGATCCCTGCAGTCAGGTGGCAGCTGGACCCTGGGGTGGATTTCACCCGGGGAGGTGGATTACAGTAGACCTGAAAACAAGGAAGTGGAAAGTGAACGTTGTGAGCAGTAGGCATTGACTGCCTCCAGTGAACTCCCAGGTCAGACAGGATAAAATACTTGCAAGAAAGCTACCACTGCAGGACACCTGGATTTAAGGGTGCTTCAAGCATTTTGTAATGGAATCAGAAACATAGGTAATCTGGTTTAGAGCAATTTTTTAAAATTTTGAAATGAAGGCCTTACCTTGTTGACCAGCCTGCCTCAGTCTCCCAAGAGCTACAATTACAGGTGTGTACCACCACACCCAGCTTAGAGCAAGTGATTAAAGAAAGGGCAGAACTTTAATTACCAAATAAGAGAAGGGCTTTCTAACTGCAGAAGTGAAGTGGCACCCATCCAGTCTTCAGTGGGGCTCTGCCCTATTCTGTCAGCCCTGGTGGAGAGGAGCATGCAGTTCGGGCTTCGTCCTACCGGCACCCAACTGAGGGGCTTGGGGTCCCGAGGCCCAGGACCCTCCCCCTCCCCACCCGCAGTGCTCCAAGCAGCCTTGTGTGTGGGATCTGGGGGAGCAAGCGATTCTGGGAAAGCATGTGGCCAATGAAGCTCTCTGTTCTCCTGGCACATGTTGGCATCTGGATTCATTCCCAACTGCCCTCCTTGTAACTCAGTATTTACACATGTGCTTCTTTTTGTGTATCTAGTTGTGTGCTAGCTGCCAATCCCATTAACAAGAGTGTCTCCATCCAGGAGTTGAAACATTCCCTAGAACTAGAATTTGGGGCTGAGGTTAAAAGGAAGTGCTCCCGGTTCAGTTCAACTCAGTTTCCATCTGTCCCTGAGATGTGACATCTCCCTTGGAAACCCCCATGGACATTTTAGAAATGAGGCCACAGCTGGACAGGGTCCACCTTTGTCGGCCAAACACTGGAGTCATTTTCCATGTTAAGGAGTTAGAACAAAGCTGTCAGGGGATAGCAGATCTGTTTTGTGACCGTGTTAGAAAAATAATATTTGACTTTTCAAATCAGCCAAGTGGACTGAGTGATATCCACCACGGAAAACAAGGCTGGCTGTGAGGCCACAAACCCCCAGCTAAGGCCTCCCAGAACCGTTTTCGAGGACAGTAAACATCCTGGCCTGTCGGTGTATGTTCGTCTCCTTCCAGCCAGCTCAGTGGTGACCGTTGCTAAGACAGACTGAGAGAAGGCTTCAAGCTACAGCAGGGGGATCCGGGTTAGACACAAGAAAAAACTGCTTGCTCGAACATTTTAAATTTCAGGAAAAGGTTAAGTCTGGGGAAGAAGCAGTTGTCTTTATAGATTTGGGGCAGATAATTAAATAGCAACCACCATGTTAGCACTGAGATCTCTGCCGGATAATATTCAGGATGCAAAGATGTAGACAAGGCAGTGAGCGATTAATTGCAGAATGAGTGGTGCAGAAAATGAGCGCTAATGAGTTCAGTGTGGAGTGTGATCGCGGCAGACTGGTGGATCAGAGGAGGCTTTGTGGAGTGGGGAGATGGAGGAGGCAGAGAGGGCACAGCGTGGCACTGACTAATAAAAATCTCCCATGCTGTTGTGAGTTCTGCCCAAAGACCCTGTGGACAAGGTGACCTTTCCTGGCTTGCATTGGCCCGGGGCAGACTTCTCTAAGCAATAAAAGAGTAAGGAATTAAAATACAACTGGGATGGAGGAATCATTTGCCCTAGAGGTGAGATCTGGTTGTGTGTGTGTGTGTGTGTGTGTGTGTGTGTGTGAGAACTGTGATGCTGGGGAAGAAAAATTATTTCAAACATCTTTCACCACAGTGTTCTCAACAGAAACCCCAAGCAGGCCTGACGCATGCAGGCAAGCTGCTCCCACTCCTCCATCATTGGAGTCTCCGGCCCCAAACCTGGGGTAATGGCTTCTCTCCCACACCTCCCTCAGAGCTTCTCAAGGGCGACTGGAGACTTCCACAATCCACTCTGGATCCTGACAGTAGAACTCTGTGGGATTTTTACAGCAATTAGTTCTCTAATGCTGGCCCTGTTTCCATAGAGACCCTATAAATAGAGGGAACGTTGGCGACCTAGGCTTGCAAATGCTCAGGGTGACCCAGTCACCCTACTGAACCTTCGCAGCTGAACCTTTGGTGGGCAGAGGGGATGTTGGGAGGAAGGGCCATGTGGTCACCAGGTGGGATAATTAGCTCTAGGTTAGTGTGATTTTCTAAGATCCTGTCACCTTTTCTGGGACTTATTGCCAGCACAGGGACCTGTAGGAATTGGAAGCTGCTTTGGGCTGTTTTTAACCACATTGCAGGGAAGACACTGTGGCCTGAGGCCTTTTCCTTTTGGCTTCATTAAGCTGTGTCGGCAGAATTTGGAGCCACTTCCCCTCTGGGGGACCCACACCCGGGGAGGAAAACGGATGAAGCCTAACTGTTCTGAAACCACAGGGTTCATTGGAAGAATCAGAAACCATGCAGCGGCCCTGTTCTGAAAGGACAGTGCCACCCAAGGAGCGGGTCCTCCCCAGCCCTGGGAACCGAGCCAGGGCAAAGTACAGTGAAACTCGGCTGTCTCCCTGCTGTCCACCCCTCATCCAGGGCACCATCCTTTCTGGCCAGCTCCGGGGACCCTCTTGCTCCTTTGCCTTGGAAGACAGAACTCTGTGTCCCACCTCTAACTCTGCAGCGTCTCGGGCCTCTTTTACCAATACATGGCTTCGTTTGGCCACCAGAAAGGTTTTGGCAGCTGGAGAAAAGCAAAAGTCAATGTGGAAAAGCAAGTGACATTTAGTAGCTGGAACCTGTTAGTCAGAGCAGGTGGTGCTTTCTGTTGCGTTGGTGGCTAAGTTCCCTCAGCTAATCACCATGGTTTTCCTCACTTCTGAAAATCGGGGCTGCTTATGTGTATGTGCTGAATTTTTTTTTAAACACTTACTGTGTTATATCAAACTTATTAACCATCTCCTCCCTGACACCCACATGCAGAAATAGCCCAGCTGCTGTTCTTGCCTCGCACCTTGTATGTGAGGGGAGAAAACCTTCTCCCCATGTCATTCTTTGACTCCTTCTTTGTTCTTTTCCCTTGTGTCTACTGTGAACTTTAACAGAGTCCTCAGTGCTGCTGGAGCAAAGGTCCTGTGGTCGCTTGGCTGCCATTCCTGGCTTTCCTTCACCTGCAGAACAGCTGGGGAGATGAGAAATGAGGATCTTGTGGCTAAGGGTCTTGGCCAAGTCCCCTCAGGTGGCCTGAGCAGGTCCACAGTTATAGCTCAAAGGACCTAATTGCCCCGGTCCAGGCATTTTTTTTTTTATGGTACCAGGAATCGAACTCAGGTCCTTGAGCTTGCAGGGCAGGCAGTGGAGCCACTGAGCGAAATCCCCGAATCCCTGGCCCAGTTTTGTTTTGTTTTGAACCTGCCTTTGGTACTGTTCTGGGACACAGGCAAAAACCATGTCCACTTTAGTCATGTGCTCAGTATGCGGGCCAGCAAAGGTAAATTAGACTAGATGTGGGGAGCACACCTTGTGACTTGGACAAACCCTTAGCTATCCCGTGTCTTGGTTTCTTCGTCTGCAAAAGGGAGGCAGCAGTCCCATGACCTGGCACATCCCCAGCTCCCGAGATTAGGGTAGTACCAGGTTAGAATGACAGTATAAATTGGAAAGCGATTTGACAAATTATCCTCTGTTTTTCTCCAGTGCTAGAGATTGAATCCAGGGAACACTACATCCCAGCCGCCCGGTTTCATTTCTTTTCTTTTCTTTTTTTAATGTTGAGGCAGGTTCTTACTAAATTGCCAGGCTGGCCTCAAACTTACACTCCTCCTGCTTCAGCCTCCTGAGCAGATGGGATTACAGGCATGCACCACCGTGTCTAGCATGTCTAATTTTTAAAATAAGTTGGCCAAGGGTCAAAGAGAATGTGGCAGATGGGGTCCCCAGCACCTCCACCCAGTTCCCAGGGCTGGGGAGAGGAAATGCTAGACGCCCGAAGGACCTCTGCTGACATCTCACGAGGGGAACCTCTGTCTCCCTGAGTGCCTAAGAGCGGTCTTGGTGCTGGAGAAGCCAGTTTAGGGATGGGGAGAGAGGGGAAGGGACCTGGGAGAGAAGACTGGAAAAGACGGTGCATAATGTGTAACGTGACCGTTTGGCAGAAGCAGCTGGGCCTGGCCTGGGTGCCTGGAGGGAGGAGGTCTTGCATCAGCTTGGGCCTGTGGAAGAGGGCAGTGTGCTCTCTGCCCCTGAGCTCGAGGCCTCAGGATCTGGCCTTGCTGAGCTCATGGCAGAATGCGCTCTACCGCCTCTCTGCCTTGGACATCTTGGGTCTGCCCAGAATGGTCCACTGGGCCTCGGGGTGCTGTTTCTGGCTTGCCCAGAGGAGATAATGACTTTGGGGGAACCTGGCACTGTGTGACCGTCCATCTCCAGGGCTGCCCCAAGTCCAGTTCCTTTTGTTTGTTTTATTTTGTTTTTGTTTTTGAGACAGTGCCTTGTTATGTAGTTCACGCTGGCCTCGAACTCTTGGTGATTTCCTGTCTCAGCCTCCTGAGTGCTGGGATTACAGCCGTGCGCCACCACACCTGGCAAATCTAGCTCTTGAGAAGGAGTAATTTCCTCGTCTAAGTGGGAATGATACTGTTGTTGCTCTTGTTGGTATTTGAGGAAATCAGAAGACATCAGACATCATCTGTGCAGGAGAAAATGAGCCTCCAGAGCCGCCGCCCCTCAGCTCCTGGTGAGGTGTTGAGGTGTTTCTTGGCCTGTTAAATGGGTGGTGTTAGGGCCTGGCCTACTTTGAGGGTTGTGGGAGAAGCTCACCCAGGAGGAGAAAAGTGAAAACCCTGCACTTTCCCACAAGTGTAGATAACGTGGTTGTTTGCACAAACTCTTAGCACTGAAGCATAAAGTAACATAAGATTAGGGTCAAGGGTTGCAGAAGATTTAAGATTGTTTTCGCTTGGCTTCTGTGTGGTCTAAGTTTTCTGCTCTGTAAGTTTCAGTCTCAGGGGAAAGACCCTCTTTTGGATAACCAGTTCGGATGTGGATGCTAAAGAATTGATTACTGACCAATTACAGACTACAAGATGATGCTCATAAAAAAGTAGTTTATTTCATTGCCAACAGGGCCAGGAACAGAAAATCGTACTAGGGCTGTATAGACAAAGGTTGGTTTATTTATTTCAGGCAACAAGGGTCACAGGATAGGCATTCATGACTGCTTTGGTGGTTCTACAGGCGGTCAAGTTCCCAGGTCTGTCTCTTGGGCTGTACTGTTTGTATGGAACCATCCTTAACCGTCACCGTGTGTTGGCAAAGTGGCTGCTGCACCTCTTCACATTTCAGCTGGGAAGAAGTGGGAAGGGTCACTGCCTTTATCAGGAAAGCAAAAGCTGCCCCAAGAACCTTCTCTCTGCATGTCATTGCCCCAAATTGTGTCAGATGACTACTCCTAGCTGCAAGGGAGTCTGTCAGAGTAAGACTTTTTAGAAAGGAAGATTTGGACCTGTTGTTTGGTTGGGAAGAAAGAAAAGGAAATGGATGCAGGGCAGGCAGTTAGCTGTGCCTGCTCCAAGAGTATAACCCGATTAAGGGGCCCTGGTGTTTCCAAGGAATATCCCAGTGAGACCTGTTTGGCAATGAGTGCTTAGTGACCAGAAAGAGCCAGTGCAGCTAGAAGGAGGATCTAACATGGAAAGAGGGAGGCGCTGGGGATGCTGACATTGATCTGGAAGGATCAAACCTTGGAAACCAAGTGTTACTTATGTGTGCTACTGAGCCCCAGACTGGCCCTGAGAGCATCATTCTTTAAAAAAACCTGTATTTGGGGGTACATTTCTTTGGGAATGAAGGAGTGGGTCTGCCACCTTTGAGAGGGTGCTGGGGATTGAACCCAGGACCTTCATACTGGGCTACATCCCCTGCCCATTTTTTACTTCTGTTTTGAGACCAGATCTCCCTGAGTTGCTAAGTTGCTCAGCCTGAACTTGAACTTTTGATCCTCCTGCCTTAATGTCTTCCCAAGTACTCAGATTTCAGGCATATGCCACCACACCCAGATTCTGTCCTCTCTTATGAGGGTGACTTTTTAGGCATCATCCTTAGAGATGCTCCAGATTCAGATGGCTGTAGTAGCTCTGCTGTTCTCCCAAGAATAGGCTCTTCACCTTCACCCCCCAGCTGACTAGATGTTCAAGAGCTTTCCACTCATGAGAGTTCTCCATCTTTCTCCCTTAAGAAAATCCAGCAGCTCTCAGAAGGCTCCATGTTTGGCCACGGCCTGAAGCACCTGTTCCACAGCCGCCGCCGTTCGAGGGAGAGGGAGCACCAGGCATCTCAGGATTTCCAGCAGCAGCAGCAGCAGCAGCTTGGCATGTCTGACCATGACTCCCCAGATGAGAAGGAGCGCTCCCCGGAGATGCACCGAGTCTCCTATGCCATGTCCCTGCACGACCTGCCCGCTAGGCCTACTGCCTTCAACCGTGTGCTGCAGCAGATCCGCTCCAGGCCCTCCATCAAGCGGGGTGCCAGCCTGCACAGCAGCAGTGGGGCCAGCGGGGGGAGCAGCAGCCGGCGCACCAAGAGCAGCTCCCTGGAGCCCCAGCGAGGCAGCCCCCACCTGCTGCGCAAGGCACCTCAGGACAGCAGCCTGGCCGCGATCCTGCACCAGCACCAGTGCCGACCCCGCTCCTCCTCCACCACCGACACCGCCCTGCTGCTGGCCGATGGTGGCAGTGTGTACCTCCTGGCCGAGGAGGGCGAGGGCATCGGGGACAAGGTGAGGTGGGGCATGAGGAGGGGCCGAGGGACCTGGGGAGCTCAGCAGCGTTATCTGCCCTGCTTGCAGGAGTCAGGGGTATGACTAAGCTAAAAACAAGGCATGAGTCTTTACATGGCTGATTTTTGCTTGTTTGTGGGTTTGTTTTTCAAAATGATTTTTGCCTAGGCTGATATTAATTTTGGTTTGTTTTCCTTCAGCATGCTGTGAAGAGGAAGTTGAGAGTAGTAGTTAAAAGCACAGACTAGAGCCAGCCCTGGTTCTGCCACTTACTACCTGGATTAGTCACTTAACCTCTTTGTACCTCAGTTCCACCAACGGAGAAGGGGATAATGGTCATAGATTTGTGGTAGGATTAAATGAATTAATCTGTAGAATGCTCAGAATGGAGCCTGGCACAGTGTCATTTTTCTTACTAAAGAGGATAGGGGAGGAATTCATGAAAGGTCATTTGGAAAGGAGAAAGTTAGTATAACTTTGCAGAACGGATATTTATCGGGTGCCACAGAATGAAGGAGCCAGCGCTGCTCACCGTCTAGCGGGAGGACAGCAGCAAGAATGACCGTGATGCCCTAGGTGAAAAGGTTGTGTCGAGTGCTATGGGAGTGGGCAGCGAGGGCGAGGGGAGTTGCCTAAAACCTGGAGGAAAGCATTCAGCTGAATATCCAAAGAGTGAAATTTTGTGAGGAACAGGGGTGGGAGGTACAGGGTGTGCCAAACCCAGTAAACTGACATGAAGATGCATCCAGCACTTTCGGGATCTGACAGGTGGGCAGAGGGCGGATCCCAGAAGGTCTTGCCGTGTCTAGTCTGGAAATAGAAGGAAGCTGTCAGGGGCTGTTAGGCAGCAGATTGGAGGGAGGAGATCCCTCTGAGCCTCAGTGTAGACAGTGGATTGGGAAGGGGCGTGTGTCGAGTGAGAAGGAGGCCAAGGACAGACCCGACTGACATATGAGGGTCAGGTGGCCAGATCTGACCTGCACTTCTGTCTGCCTGATTAGTTCCTCCTCTTGCAAGCTCTTTTCTCCTCTGGCTTCAGCATTGTCTCCCTGCAGGTTGCTCCTACACACCTGGCTACTCACTCTCAGGCTCCAGTGGCTGCAATTTACTTTTCCCTGGGGCATCTGCAGCGATAAAGGTTTCTGGAAGGTGTACAGGAAGGTCAAAGGTGCCACAGGAGTGGTTGCGGGCAGGTCAGAGAGTGTCCCAGTGGTGGCCCATGAAGTCTTGGGTGGCAGGGAGAGGGGAAGGGCTGGTGATGTGGAGAACAGGAGGTGAGGGATGAAGGACCCAGAGAGCAGGTGCATTGAGAGCGTCAGGAAAAATGGGAGCCAGATGTGTCTTGGGGTTTAAGATTTTGGGGCTCGGAGAGGAAAGACAGGCTCAGAGTGTAGTCAAGGAGTGAATGGAGAGATACTGAATTTGACATGGCAAGAGCTGAGAGGTTAGATTGTCACATGGCAGTGAACTCCTCTGACAATCGCAGCATTTAGGAGAGAGGAAGCCTGGGAACTGGGGCTTTGCTTTGGGGGAGGATGGAAAGGGGAGCGGTCAGGAGGGTGGCAGGGAGCAGCTTTGATGCGTGGAGGGCAGAGGGGGAAGAACACCACTCCAGGGACCTCAGGGAGGGCGGGCTCATCCGGGAGGTGAAGGGTGACCTGCCAAAGCCACTGCAGTCCAGTGGAAGGCAGGGCCCACCTGCAGAGCTCAGGAAGGAGGGTCCCGAGGGTCTAGAGTAGGACAGGCAGCAGAGAAGATGGCTGGAGTGGAAGGAAGGAGCGTAGGAGGAGTGATCGATGAGCGAGAGTCCTGCGCTTGGCAGATGTGAGCGAGGCCCGGTGGGGTTTCCAACATCGAGGTTTCGGGGGGCACTCGGTGTACAGCTGTTTTCACAGCTTTGTCACCAGAGTGAATCCAGCTCCCACACGTGATCTAGAACCATCTTCCTGCCAGCACTGAGTGTTTCTCGAGTTCCAGAGCGTCCTGACTTTGGGGGACATTTGGGCGTTTGTTTACCTGGCAGCGTGTGGCCGCTTCCTGCCTGGCGCTGTAGGGCGCGCGGTTTTGGTTTGGCACTTTTCCGAGGTAGGGTGTGCTTCTGTAGGTGTCTTTTCACGAGCTCATTCACATGGACCTGTGCTGAGGTAAGGGGGTTAGGGTACCCCAAGATTTTAGACAGAATTTTAGACAGTTCGAACAGGGGACAGAACTCACCCAGGGCTCAGAGCTCTTCCGAGGCAGACCCTAGGCTCCCTGCCCTTGGTCCAGGGCTCTTCCCACCGTGCCAGGCCGCCCCTGCAAGGCCGGCTGGCAGCCACAGTCAGCCTCCCGTGCTTAACCTGAGGTGATGCTTTCACATTCTTATCACCCTCGGGGACGATTCTCCAGCAGACTCTGACCACCCACTGTTGGATCACTGTATATATTCCACAGGTGGCTCTGGATTTCTTCAAGAAAGAGACTTTCCACAGATTATTGCAGTCTGTCCATAGTCAGAGCCTCACTTGGCCAGTCAGTCACCAAGCTGCCCCTTCCTTTCTTCAGTACATGGTAGGCATGGTTAGCATGGACCTCCCTGAGCGAAAGCAAGGCCCCTCCTCTTGTGGAGCTGACATCCTGATAGGAGGAGACAACCATTGAATGCTTGCATACGTGTTTGGTGGTAGTGGGTGCTAAAATGGAAAATAAAAGCAGAGTGATAGGGTACAGAATGGTGGGGAGAGGTATGCTGTTTTGACAAGTTGGTCAGAAAAAATCTCCTGTAATATGAGAGAGTACATCCTGTGGATCTCTGAGGAAAGGCAATTCAGGTAAACAGAACAGTGGGTGCAAAGGCCCTGAGGTAGGAATGTGCTTGGGATATTCTGGGAACCTGCAAAAGGGTCATGGTGACTGGAGCAGAATGAGCAGGGTGGAGACAGTAGAAGAGAATCAGGCTGGGGGGTGGGAGTTGGAGGGCTCGGGGAGGATACAGACTTCGGGTTTTTTCTTCTCCGTGTGTCACTAGAAGGCTTGGTACAGGTGAGTAGACACTGTTTAAAAGATCACTTGGGCTGCTGTGTGGAGGCCAGACGATGTGACAGTGGAGCGGGGAGTCTACTGAGGAGGCTGAAGGAGCACTCCAGGCCGAGGTGATGGAGGAGTGGCAGCAGGGGGCGAAGTGGCTGGACACTGGGTTTGCTCAGATCTGGCACACGGGCTTACGGTGCATCTCGTGTGGAGCTGGGCAGAAAGGAGAGAAGTCTCAGGTGGCTCATGGGCTCTGGGCCTGGCAGCTGGAAAGAGGAAATTGTCACGGACTGAGGAGAAGGGAAGTGGATGAAGGGAGCAGATGTTCCGTGGTGCAGAGTTGGAGTGGGTTTGGGTCTGTGGAGTGAGACGGCCATTAAACATCCATGTGGAAATGCCAAATAAGCAGTCAGATGAACGTATCTGGAGTCCTGGGGAGACAGCCAAGCCGGAAGCCCAGTTTCGGGGGCTGTCGGCATCTGGATAGTATCAAAGGGATGGGACTGCACCATTTGCAAGCCCAGTTCCCCAGGGGAGAAGTGTTTCCACAGGGTGTTTTAGATTCGTTGGCTGAAGGGACCGTGGCCTTGTGAAAGCAGGAGCGGGAATAGCCCTGCGGAGTGGAGCGGGTTGTGGAGCCCGAAATGAGAGAGCCCTCGGTGTGCAGCCCCAGCTGGGCCCTCCTCGCACGGCTGAGTCAGTGCCCACAGTTGGAAAGCTCAATTAGAAAACTCCTGCCACAAAAGTTGTTAGTACTGCGGTATTTTATGAGGAGGGAAAATGTGAGCCTTGCAGCTGGTGGTTGCCAGGGGCTCTCCAGCTGCTGAGACGCAGGAGGGTGTGGGGTTGACAGTGGGCCCTGCTGGAAACTGGCAAAGGGTCAGTGTCTGCTGACCGGCCGTGCAGGGTCTGGGGGCGCGGGCCGGGTGCATCCTGGGAGCTTGTGCGCATGGCTCACATCTGGCCTTCACACAGCGAGGGTTGCCTCCTTGTTATCTGTGGAAGACCCAGCCCAGAGCCTCTGCGGTGACCCGACTTTGGGACGGTCCGTCCCATGGGCCTGGGTGATGATGGAGAAGGTTGCTCCTATGCCCGGTCAGTACGCTTACTTAGAAACTTCAGCTTTGTCACGTGCCTTGCCTGGTTGCTCTCATAACATTCTGTAAAGTTGACAGCAGCTGTCATCATCTCCATTTTACAGATGGATAGACTGAGGCCGAGAGGAAAAGAGGCATCCAGGCCTTGGCAGGGAGAAAGCTAGCTCCTGGGACTCTGTTCTGTCTACAAGATCCAATGGAAGTCCCTGAAATAGCTGAGGGACCGTTTTATGCAACGCTGCAGGAAGGTGGTTTGTGGAGCCAGAGAGATGACTTTGTCTTCCTAGTTACAAGTCTTCCTGACCTGGATGGACATGGCCCCGGGGGTCCTGTGCCCTGGGAAAGGGGTGTCCCAGTGTTTGGAAATCCCTGAAGCTGTCAGCCAAGTCTCCCCGACCCAGAGGCCTTTGGATGGTGCGGGAAACAGGGTGGTTCCACCCTGGTCTGGGCATGAATAGGAAGTATTCTTCTCTCTAGTAAACACAGCCCACGTGCTCTCTGCAGGCTCCCTGGTGATTACTAGCATCTATTTTTAATTCATAAGCCTCCCCCAGCCCCACACCCTTTGCCATTGTTTGGAACTCACCAGCTGGCATTCGGACCAGAGAGGGCCTGGCAGGGCTTGAGTTACCGAATCACACTGGAGGCAGCTCGAGTTCCTTGGCTGTCCTGGAGAGGCTCACCCCGGCCCTCACCCTCAGAAAGCGGGGGACATGGAGCCCCAAGGAGAGCAGGGTGTGACTGGACAGATAGGGCCTCCCAGTCCAGGAAGGCAGCTCAGCCTTGGCTATGGCAATTTGACTCTCATTTGTTCCCTTCAAATCCAGTTGAAGTTATACCTCAGTTCTTTCCCTATAAAAACAAAAAAGTCCTCTCAGCCCCACCCTTCTGCAT